TGTGGGCTTTTCTGGTGCAAAAGTGAGAAAGACTGTAAGAGCTGTCGAATTACTGGTGCAATTGAGAAAGAAGAAACTTTTTTCAGCAAAATCACCAGAATAGTTCGTTTGGTTCCTTCCTCACACGGACCTTATCAAATCGTCAACCCCTGGAGTTCATACATTTCTCCCCTCTAGGTCCTTTGGTACATAGATTCGTTTTCTGTTCTCGTTCGTCATTCCTAATAACATCGCTAGAATACTTGGGAACGAGAGACTAGAAAGTGTTCTTGAACCGACTGAAATCCGATTTCCGCTGCTATTTGTCGAAACTCTCCAAGAAAAAGAATGATGGAACGAATCTCCGATTCCACTCTGATACTTGGAATTTGAAAATCTTTTTGTTATTCACTAAGCCAAGCTGTACCCCGCTGTTTCTGTCTGACGTCTTTTGTGAATGAACGAATGAACAAGAAACCAGTTGCAATTTGCGATATGGCGCAAAACTCGTCCGAATGTTATCACAAGTATGGCTTGTGTGCGCGGCTTGAAAACGAATACTCTAGAAGTAGTATGGGAGCGACGGATTTCTTGATTTGCATGTAAATGAAGTTTTTTTCTACAGTTGTGCGGCCGATGCAATTTATGTGAAGTTGAAAACGAATCGAACGTTTGAAGGACATGTGCATATGAAATTCGTCTCAAACAAACAATGTTACCAGGTAATGACTCTTTCAGTAACGATTGAAAATTTGAAGAAGTAACAGGTGCATGGCGCACCCAATAAAAGGACCGCGATGGCTTTAACCATTTATTTATGCGCACTCAATTGGCCACTTGATTTTCTCTAGTAGTTATAGAGAACCAAAGAGAACATATTTCATAAAAATGCCGAATTGTGCGCAAAACTTTCGTCCCAGGTGGGAATCCAACCCGCATTTCTGGCTTTGCATGCTGTTGTGCTGCTGAAAACTGTTTTGCCTAAAAAAACTGAGTAAAAAAACTGCCTGAAAATTCTCTCAATAGAGGGTGTTATTCTGCAAATCTACCTTAAATTTATTTCTATATAATTTTTCTATTCAGTTCCACTCTGTCTTGCATTGCCCTATCCGCTGTACTTCACTATTCAATCTCTATAGTTTGCCATTCCGAACAAGCCTATGGTTTTGCTTATTGGCAACTCATTAATTACCTACTTACAGTTATTGAGTACATTTAATGCCCTTAATATTTACAGGATCATTAGTACAATAGATAAAATAATATAAGAATAATGAGGGATACGAGGTAATGGCTTACAAACACTGCTCCAGGTGGGAATCTAACCCGCACCTCTCGCTTTCCTGGCGAGTAAACAACAACAAATAATTTTACTTACTGATATCAAATAATGACTAGCGAAAGCCGAAGAAGCATTTTGAATTGATATTAAATAGCGAAACAACTCGATTCACGTCGATCGATCCACTTGGGATGCGCCATGCATCTGTCATTCAGTCTCAATGACATTCGTACAAACACTGTATAAGTAACATGATTCCAGGTTTTAGTAACAAATAATCAGATCGAAGTGTTGATTCCGCTATGAGGAATGCTTGCGTGATTGAGAAAGCGTTGAAGTTCGAGAAGAGAAGCATTGATTAATAAGCACTTGATGGTTTCGTTTAGGGAGAACTGAAACCGTTGTTTTCGATTTTCCCTAACGTAATAGTAATTACAGTTCGAAATCGCCGCCGGGAGTTTTTCTCGAGGCTTCATTAGCGGTTTCGTTTCATCCCGAGTTCACCACAGCCGACGATCGTATCTTCCATTTTCGTTGTTTCCATCAACGTACGTCATCGAAAGATGTGCAAGCCACGGGTAGTCCGACAGAACCACCCCAAGGTGCGTCAAAAATTTTGAGCAGACTTTGAAGCAATTCTCTTGAAATATGATTGATGTTAAAAAGTGCGAGACGCTTCCTTTGCCTGTAAAAAACTTTTCTCCATGCTTTTGTAAACTATTGGTCATAGTAGCCTAGATACATTTTAAGCGAGAAAAAACTGCTCATAGTTTTTTGAAAAAAATCATTATCAAGGATAATTGCTTCTGCATTAGGACGTTGCGCTAGTTCTTTTTTCTTTCCTCGGCCATTAATTGCGATACAATTATCTCAGAAATAGTGTCATTCGAAAGAGCCCACGTACAAGACGAATTCTGAAAAAGCTATTCATTGTCCGCGTTTTGCCCTAGTAACACAAAACCCAAAGCGCTGTGATTGCCTGCGATTTGATCGCCGTCCGTAGCAGGAGCAGATGAATAACACGAGAGTCATCGAGGAATTACTCGGAAACACAAAGTGCTTTTCTTTTGCCTATATTCCGAGTTATTGACGAGCCGGAAAATCAACCCGGCGACAGCTGATGGGGGAGTTAACCCAAAAGAAAATCCGCAACGGCGTCTGGGGGGTCGCGCGTGAACAAAATGTCGACGTTATAGCACATTGAGGAAACCTTTTTTTAAAAAGGTAGTGCATTCGCTCAAATAAAAAAAAAAGAGGACTCTCGGTCGAATAGTACCTACAGTAGTTGAACTGTTAATCGACTTGACGAATCTTCTCCATTGTTCTTCCCACTTTCTGAGTGAACGTTCAGGATGCGCCACGTAGTCAGCTTCTCCTCTTGTTGTAAAACTCCAATGCAAATGAAGAGGAAGAGATTGCTGTGAGTTGAGGTGACGCGTGGGTTAACTTGCAAAGTTACTCTTGATTTCCGATCACCTCTCAAACGGGCTCCGAAATCTTACTGTGCCTGTTCTCTCGCTCTCAGCACTGAACTGTTCAGGGTCACAAAGCAATTTGATGTCATTTTGCTGAATCTCGATGAAAAATACTTCCTCTATCCAGGCTCAATTCGTTCCTGTGGATCCGCTGTAGGCGTTGAGGGCAGTGCCCCTCAGCGTGTGGACAACCCAAGAATGGCCACCTGGGAGTCTGTCTGCCTTTAGCATGGCATCCAGATGTTCCACCCACTACAAAGCCATGCGTAGCCTTGGGAGGGATTCAGACGATTTTTGTAAACGAAAGGTCTCTATCCCACGTAGCGCCTAATTTTGTGACCAACTTCTTGTTCGTGAGCAAATGAAGCATGTGCGAAGTTTAAACCATCATAACCGGTTTTCTTTAACGAAACACCTGTTCGTACGTTGCATTTCTTGAAGGCTTTTCGACAAAGGGCGTGCCCACCAATAGCTCTCAATGGATCTGGTGTTCGCCCCTCAGAGGGTAGCAAGAAAAAAAGCTGACGCGTGGCTTTAATTGAATTTGCTAAATAGAACATGGGATACGTAAAGCTTGTTTTGGACAGCTATTTTACTAGTGTGCTTGAACTATTTCCACAATATACTAATGACAAGGTACAAGTAAAGCGAGGTTCAGAAGCGGCAGGTGAATAAGCCTTACCTCGCACACGGCCCGTAGCCACCGAGTTCTGCCCAGATAAGGCTAAGAATGGGAAAAAAAACTATGTTTTTGATTGCTAAGTGCTGTGTTTTTGACTGCAGTTTGCCTTGCGAAAATTCCCCAAGAATGCTGGGTTACGAATAAAACTTTGGCCCCACAAGGAACTCGAACTCGTACCGGCTTTTAAAGCTGAGTTGGAGTAAAAGTGAGTTGGTGTACCGATAGCGTAACTTGTAGCTCTTGCCCGGTCAGCGAGAGGTGCGGGTTCAACTCCGCGTAGAGCAAAAGTTTTGTTCATAGCCGAGCATTTTTGTGTAAGAAAATATTTATTTACAAACACAGAAATAAAACGCTTTTTCGTTTTCGTTTTCAATTGCAACCCCGGATTCCCTCTGGGATAGGTCGGTCGGTGGGAGGATAAAAATGCTAACTTGTGCATCGGCCGAACTTCGCAATGTGTTGGATATAATGAAACGCATCCAAATACCTTAACGATTCTTAAGCGCTACTCTCGAAATACGTGGCCGCACGCCCGTATGCGAAAAAACTGTTCGATTCAGGTAAAGGGCTCGGCACGCAGCCAACCAGCTTTGAAGCTGACGTTACGAGTGAACGCGGCGTGCCGGTAATTACGTGCCCGTCAGCCGAGGTGGCGGGTTCAACTCCGCGTAGGGAAAGTTTTGTTTCAATGACGCCGGCACTTTTGGGTAACGAAAATATTTTGTTAATAAACAACAGGACAACGAAACGCATCCTTTCGATTTGCGCTTTGAAATTGGCGATCAGCGCTGCCCGTCCTTCTGATCGCTTGTTGGTGCAGCGGTACTTTGGGAGGATAAAAATGCTATCGTGTGCATCGGCTGAACTTCGCAATGTGTTGTATATAATGAAACGCATCCAAATACCTTAACGATTCTTAACGGTATTCGAATACGTGGCGCACCCTCAGTCGCGGCGCGCCTCGGCGCGATTACATTTTATTAGTTCGTGATTAGGTTCGTTTAATTTTCAACATCGTTCAGATTCTACTCGTTCACCGCTCTGCTCTTACACAGTTCGTAAATGGATGAATGGTCCCTTAGTAGGGACGGTCCTGCTGGGACAGGTGGTATTTCATCAGTGGAGTTGTGAAAACGAACAAGTCCGTTCATTTTTGGTTTTTCTTGTCTTATATCGCTGCTTTTGCTTTCTTTGTCAGTGAAGACTTGACTTGCATGTTTTGCATTTTGTTTTTGAAATATGTGATCGGGTAAAAATAAATAAAAATAAGTAAGTAAATAAAGCTTGCTTTTCGATTCAGGACACATGTTTGATAGTCCACAGTTGTTCGGTGGTTGGTAGTGAGACGAAACAACACATGCTGATGGATACGGATGGATGTTCCAAGGACACAAAAATCCTCCCTAACCTTGAATATATCGGTCCGGTAAGTTATTTGTGGCTTTATGTTTATAGCCAGGTTCGAGCTTAAATCGATTTTTTGTGTTCATTGACTGTCTGTTTTCGTCCAAATCAGGGACAAAAATCACTATCCGTCAAGATAAGGCGTAGTAAGCAGTCAAAAGAAATAAGTGAGGGCGGGGGGGGGCGAATCCATGAACTGACTCGGAACCCCCTTTCTCCAACCCCGCGCAACACTATTTGGCACCGAATCGATGACTGCAAGGGCACCTTCCACTTCAAAGTGATCAAAGGCGTATACAGCCTTAAAAATATTTGGGTAGTATCATCGAGACAAAAATCACTTGTAATCGGCCACGACAGAGCCTGCGCGGACGAATCTACGACTAGGGGGGGCCTTATTAGGTTCAGGGACAGTGAGAGGGTTGTATGTGCCGGAATAAGCAATGGTCAGGTAGCAATCAGGAGCGCTGATCGTTTGTATGCAGAACAGAGTTTTACATAACTGCCTTCGTTACTGAGGGGGGAGGGGACAGGCACTTCGAAGTATTCCTTGATTCCCCGTTTGGCCTTGATTTGGACCCCCATTGCGTTGCTGATATGCTTTCAAGCCTGTTTCATGCTTTTTATCGCCGTGTACTTTAATTGCTGAAGAGGCGCTTCAAAATCGTAGCTAATTCCGAACGGAGAACAAGCGAAAAGTCGCTCGAGGAGTGGATGAACCAATTGAATTGGAGCGCGGGGGGAGTCTAGCTCGTTAGCATGTCGCCGCTTGAAAAGGCACTGCCTTTCCATTTAGGCCCACTAGGGCCGTCCTTGACGAGAAAAGCAAAGCGAGGAGGTTTTTTTTGTAATTTTTTTTGGAACAAAACACTCATGTCCATGAGTTGACTGGTGGCAGGTGTTCCGCACCATTGGGGAAACCTGTTCCTTGAAGGATTTTTCTCTGGTCTCGCTGTGGAACGCACTTCATCCTCAGACTCGTCCAGCGCCATTTTGACTCTAAAGTGATTCAGCCGTGGCTTTCCGATCGGGAATTCGGCGACTATGAGACAATGTTAAGCTGTGTCTGATTAATGAACATCGACCATGATTAGCATACGACACGGCCGTCGCCTCGATCGTAGGCTGAAGCATCGCGCTCGCTCGAAAAGCCAAAACAACCGCGCCGGGATTATCCCCACTCTACGAACTCCTAAATCGGGGATTAGTTGCAATTGATGAAAAGCCCATGAATGCTACACTGTATGGTTTGTGGTGCTCTTTTCTACCCATTGACCTCCCTGGGGTGATGGAATCTTCCTGGAGGATAGGATAACGAGGAGTGCCCAAAACTATCCCCCTTCACTCCATTTTCACTCCCCTATCCCTGCTTTAGGGAGACTGAACAGGTGCGAAAAATCGTACAGGATGTTAGCAATATGTGTGGGCTTATGGGCTTCCAAGCAGGGATACGCTAAGGGGAGTGAAAATGGAGGAGGGGGGGGGGGGGGTAGGTAAGGTGGGAGCAGTTCTCGTTGTCTTCACCCTCGTTGCAAGTAGCTATGGGCTCTAACACCGCTAAGAAAGTGTGCTAAAAAATCAACCACCGAGAAAATTGAATAAAAGAGGTGACCTTAAGAAGGGATCGGTGAGTGTTCCACTTTACCACACATGTTCCTATACAATTTTTCACGCCTGGTCACCAACCGTGGAGCTCGTTGGCCCTCAGACCTAGGACAGCGATGTTCTACTTCAAACCCTTTCTGCAAGAACGATGTTCCTCGAACCATTCCACACTACAAGGAACATATCAGAAGTATGTACCTCACAAATGAGTAGCGCTCTTGTTCTTATTTTCAGTATTGAAGAATAAATACAATGGAGTGCCCCCCCCTCTAGTTTTACCTCAAGTGGTATGGATATTTTACTTGGGTATTAATTACCGACCCAGGAATTTGACCAGAAACTGAACTTCCAGTGAAAATGTCCCTCTATCTAAGAAGGTGCGGGGTTTTAGTACGCTGAAAGATCTTCACTTCTGAGGGTTCTTCTAGAAAAGAGTTCAAAATTCCCAAATCAAAAAAATAAAAATTTGATCCTAAAATTCTTTGCAGAATCACTTATGTGCTAGTTCGTTGCTATTTATTTGTTATTTAGTTTACTTTATATTAAAATTGCCATGGCTTATCGGTCGGCCATTCGAAAAGAAACAGGGCAAACCTTTTTCGGCAACCTAAGGGTGGAATGTTCAGAAGAGGTCATGAGTAAGTAGAGGGTACATCATTGATTGATTTCTCCGCAGGGAAAATAAAGTTAGAGCTAGTTGTCGGTTTGGTCAATTTTTGTCGGCGGGACCTCCCATTTCGCAGGCCTAAAATTTGAAAACCCTGGAACAGAGTGGAAGAGCAGATATTAGTAAGAGCAAGAAACATTTCTGTCGAGCGGTTTGATGACTTATATACAGATATAAAAATTTTGGATGAAAAAAAGAGACACTATTTCATGAAGACAACCTCAATATATTGCGTATCGTTAACCTGGCCTTCAAATAGATATGGTACTGGGAGGGTAGGCAAGGTGGTGAAAAAATTATGCAGAATTTTCCGTTTTAAGGGGTGTATATCCCTCAATCCTCGAGAGCGCTGTGCCCTTTGACTGCTGCTGATACACATGTGTACCACCCAGAATCAAAGGGTTACGCATTACATTTTTTCAAAAACTTCTTGAGAAAGTGGCAGCTGACTGGAGTCGATTTTGTTGCAATGAGAGCTTTGCTATCCGTATGCTAAAAATGGTTACAAGGCTTCTGTCAACCAAAGGGTGAGAGCGTAGCTGGAAAAGCACACACTTTGTGTCTTATTGGGACTAAGCCTTTTGAAGGAGATAAAGAAAGAGGAGATGCTGTGATAGTGTGCACTTGTGAGAGCTCCCAGACATCACTACAAAACGCTGAACCGCCAAGCTCACGGTTGACAGATGTCCTGAGACCAAAACATTTCGCAATATATTATAGATAAGGTATTGGAAGAGGTTATCGAAGCAAAATTAAAAATCTAGAAATTAAAATTGAAACAGTCTCTACGTACAGTGCGCCCCTACCGTATGGAAACACCGAGCATGCCTATCATTTCGTTCAGCACCATATTTCCAAAGTATGACGGGGAAGATATTAAATTATTAGTTAGTTTTGTAAATCTTTAGATTTCTATAACTGAAATATTCCTTTTCAGTCGATGGTCGGTCAAAATGTGAGCGTCTTCGGAATCTCTCAAACTTCACTGATCTATTTCGAATGCAATTTGATCTTGATCCCGAAAATTGATGGACAGTGTGAAGTACCACAATGTACGGAGACAGCAAATCGCACAAGGTAACCGATACCTCGAATTTGTGGCTATAATATATGACGTGATATTGTAGGAGCATACCCTCCGAAATATTAATCAATGACCGTATGGCGATCCGTTTTTATTTGTTTCAATCTGAGGCACGCTAGCAATAAGGAATGTTGAGGGGAATCATCTCTCATTCTAGAGACCCATTAGCAATATTGTGACAGAAGAAGATTCGGGAAATTTAACCTGTTATGAATTAGCTTTTCGACTAGATTATAAAGTCTTGACCGACTCTTCACCTCTCTCTCGCAAGGAAGTTTATAGGCCTTTGGAATTAAAAGTGCGGCTCCAGAGAAATGAGCTTGGAAAAAATCATTACAAAGTCGCGGGTCCAGGAAACTGGCGTGAAAAATCATGTGAGACTGAACAACGGGGTAGTTTTATTGAGCGATGGTGATATTTGTACTTTCAGCGTTATTCGAAAGCACTGATCTTCTGTTTCTAATTAGCCTTAGACATCTGCAAAAGTTGATTCATGAAGAAAGGTATGAATGTTTGATGTGCAAAAAGTCGCGTGTGCACAAAAACGGAACACGCGGACGATTTTTTGAAATATAGAACATTGTATCATTTCAATACTTTTTAGAGAGAAAATATGGTTGATTTTTTTAAATTTCAAAACTTTAAAAAAGTTTGGTGGTGCCCGGTTTCATGAGCTCGACTTTTGAAGCTGAATGATAAACCTCTGAATGGAAGCGGATGGACTGGCACGAATTGCTACAAGTGAGTTTGACAGGATTATACAATCTTATAAAAAGAAAAAAATTAAAAATGGAAACTGGAGATCAAAAAAGTTGGTAGGATTCAGAGAGCAGAAGTCTATTTGATTATTATCATGTATTGTTTACGCAAAAATTTGGAAATTCCTGTTTCTTAATGACGAAAATTTCATGTGCTTGATTGCTTACCTCAGAGCGGTAGACATTGCACGGTTTACTGTCATGTTGGTGACTGCCCACACATCAATGATGAGCATTAAATTACGTGAAAGACATAATAATTAATACAGGGGGGGGTCGTACCGAACCCTCAGAAAGGGAGGGGGTCGTAAAAATTTTGGAATTTGCGCAACGCAGGGTTGACCCTGCTCACAGCGCAGCACCTCGCAATACCAAAGAAGTGCTCATTTCGACGTCACATCCTTGAGTATCAATGAGTTTCATTTTTACCATGACATTTGCCATTTAGAAGGAGTTTTGAAGCACTAGAGCGTAAGCGCGTTCGAGCGTGCGTTCAACGGATCGAGTGGCGAAATCGGGTAACGTAGTATCGCTACTATGGTCAGCGTAATGAGCTAAATCTGTGTGTTTTTCGTTTATAGGTGTCATGTCAGACGCTGAAAACGAGGTGGTGCGGCCAGTTGAGCTAACTTGTCACAGCAAGCCCTCGCCTTCCTCGGCGTAATCAGATTTGCGTGGCATTCAATCCGTTCGTCATCTTTCTCGGTGGAATGATTGCGGTATTGTTAGGTTTTTTCTTGGAGCGCCTCCAGGGATGCCTATGATGGCTGTCTGCTTAGGATCACGCAGGTCCAGAGTTGGCGATCGTGCTTAGGCGGATAGCGGTTAGGTGGTCCAGAAAGAGGTGGGTACGTGGATTGATTGCGGCGGCTTAGGCTGAGTAGCGAGTAGACGGTTAAGAGAAGAGCACGAAGTTCATTTCGGTTCGCTCGCCGCAGCGATCGCTACGGCCGCTACTCGCTACCAACGTATGGTTACAATCGCCTAATCGATACGTACCTCCCCTGATATCGCCTACTTCGCCTAAATCGCATGTACGATCGCCAACTCTGAACGCTGCCTTAGGGTTTTTCTCACCTGGGCGGGGCCCGCTTTCCGGGATACCTTATCAACTAAGGCTTGTCATTTCAGATGGCCGTCTTCGCAGCGTTCGTTGCAGTCATGATATCACTGCAACGATACCGTCACTACTCGATATCTCACACAGTTTGTTAGTCTCGTACTTGATGGCGACTTCAAGCAAAAAAGGTGGCCGACGATCTCTGGGAATTCCCTGGTCACCTGACCAGCTCGTTTCGATCTCATTTCATTTGCTCATCACGCTTTTGCCAGTGCCTAGCTATAATATTCATTATTTTTGTCATATTTCGATTATTCATGAAGGAACCCCCACAGTGACAACCCGTCAGCGATCCGCCAAGGACTCCACTTGTCCAGGCCAAACAGGAAAAAAAACACTTGGCGCGGTGAAAGGAACATGTACATGCTTATTGTCATCGTTTTGTGGTCATTCAGCTGACGACCACAAAGTGACCATCTAGCCGTTACGGTCATAGCCATTTATGGCTTTGAACGCACACAACCGGTTGTCTTCGCTAATAATTCCTTTACCTTGAACCCGTTGTCGGGCGTTGAAATACCCTAATCTGACCAGTTTTGGCCATGGCTAAGTGGCACTTACGCGAACCACTAACGCCTGTTAAAACAGCACTACTATCGCAGCTTTTGTCGGGTCAATGTCGTAGCGGTTCCGTGTCCGTGACAGACTGAAGCACACCGAGATGGGCCTGAATTTTCCCACCGACTTTCCGAAGGCAAGTTGATAAGTGCTCGTCTACTTGAATTGATACGTAGATTTTCATGGAGAAGATTACGGTTTGACAGATATTGCTTCAATAGTAAATTCGTTTTTTTGTAAACAATAGCATAATAATAAATGTTAATGCCTATGCTGTTTCTGCCTTTCTGTCCAAAGATGTGCACTCTTTTCCTAAAAACGAGAAGAGCGTCGGGTGCAGACCACACACCACAGGTGACGATGAGTCACGCGCTTCCATGAAATGTTAATGCTTTCTGCCTGATCGAAAGATTAATTGGCCTGTTGCAGTTGGATTCTATCAGTTGCCATCAATTAAATACAAATATCATTCACCAAAAATCAGCTGTCACTATGAACCACTACTAACTATAGATTTACTTGGAGGCCTTCGTCACTTGTGGTGTATGGTTTGCACGTTCGTCACTTGTGGTGTATGGTTTGCACCCGATGCTCTTCTCATTTTTTGAAAGTGAGGGTGGGTCAGGACATATGAATTGCGGCGGCGCGGCAGGTGTCACGCTAGCGACATTTTTGGCATAGAACAACAAGAATGAAGAGTTCAGACAACTAGGAAGTAGGACTAGCTTTTTGGAATAGGAACTGGAACTAGCTATTTCAGAGTCACAAAGTGCGAAAGTGAGAGAGTAAACCTGGAAAGCTAATTAGAGAGCATAGGGTATGAGCAAGACGCAGACATCAAGGCATGCGCAACATTAGACTTCCATAGTTAGGAATCAAGTGACCTCTTTGAAGTACCCCCAATACTTCATCTGTCACGTTGAATACGTTCCGTGTTACCTTCACTGTTACCCTATCCTAGCTGTTCGCGTATGGGTATTTTTTTCCAGTCAAGTACAATAGCAGGTTGTTAGCATGAATCTGCAGATTATAACAAACTTGTTAGTCGAAAAATAAAGACGTAAGGAATAATGAAAATAAGGACCTCTCTTATTGGACCCTTATACCGCAAGACAGATAATTTCAGAGACACAAGGCGAGAATGTGAGAAAGTAGACCAGGAAAAGAATCAGAGAGTATGGGGAGGAGCAAGACGCAGACAGCACGGCGTGTCCAACGTTATACGCGCATGTTGCGTTGGACCTTCACGCGTGCAAGCCATGATCCCCCAACGCCCTGTCACACATTTATAATCGCAAGAACGGCGCTGCCTCTACCGACGATGAACCCATTGCCTCCTCAGGCAAGGCTATGTACCTTTCAGAAAATTGAATGCGGAGCGCCTATGAGGAAACGCGATCCTCCCAATTACCTTTCCCACTAGAAAAGGGGCTATTCTTAGGTTCTTCAATGAGCGCTGCAAACTTCCTCATGGGGCGGCTTTCATAGGTGAAACTTCCTACTTATTATAATACTTACCTACTGCGCTATCGTAACATACTGGGGCATTCTCTAGGACAAAGCCAAGGAAGGAGCAGGAACTTGGGGATTATGAAAATTGCTCATGTATCCTGAAGTCTCTCCTTCCCCGAATAAGGCTTACTCCCATTTTTGACGAAAATTACTTTGTTCTTTTTTTGTCGGAGACAGATACAGCGAGATCAATTATTCATCGGGTGATAAACTTTTATAAAAT